CCTATCCACCTTCTCCCTGTCCCCCACTCCCTATCCCCCTCTCCCACCCCCCTCTCCCTATCCACCCTTTCCTGTCCCCATCTCCCTATCCCCCTCTCCCTGTCCCCCACTCCCTATCCACCCCTCTCCCTGTCCCCCACTCACTATCCACCCTCTCCCTCACCCCTCTCCCTATCCACCCTCTCCCTCACCCCTCTCCCTATCCCCCCGCCCTGTCTCCCGGTTCCCCCTATCACTTGCTGGGAGCTGTGGCGGATTAAACAGCCTCAGGAGCGGACGGGGCGACACTGGGGCCTGGGTCTGAGAAGGCCCACGTACAGAACGACCCGGAGAACGGGGCCGAGTGGAGCCCAGCCCGGTGTGAGCTGGATGTGCAAGGATGGAGTCACACCTGGCAGTGTGGCACTCTGCTGCTCCATTTCAGAAATACAGCCGGTGCTGCAGAACCTGTGGTGAGTTGCGGCTATGTCTGCCTGCATTACTGACTCCCCATCCCTGGGAACATCCGTGCGCTAAGGAAAAGGATGCGGGAAGTTAGCGAGGTGCTTAATTGTCTTTAGCCTGATGGAATATTAACTGGGATCTCAAAGCTGCTCGTTTTGATAATGGGAATCGCGTATTTCTTCCTCAAATCCGTTCTGTAGCTCGGGGACTAGAGGTGAGAAAGAGAGGGAGAGAGAGAAAGAGGTGATAATGAAATGGGGCTCTCTCTGTGGCTGAGAGGTTAGTGATTTGCAGGACTCTCCTGATCTCGACTCCCGAGTCTGTTGGAGGGAAGCCGCGTGGGGAGCGGCCACTGTTGTGGCATTTTGCCAAAGTCAAGCTTCCCCGCCTCTATATAGACACACTCCAGGCTAGCAGTGTGCAGGAAATCATTCAGCTCTCTCTCTCTCTCTCTCACACACACACACACATATATATACACACACACATACACACACAGAGGCAGACAGACACACACACACTCTGCAAGACATCTCCTCAATATCAGAACCAGAGATCCCGTATGTGTCTCTGCCTCTCGTTCTCTGTGTAGTTAAGAGCGTGCAATAAATTTTCTTGAGTTATTTCTTTTTTTTGGAAATTGCAAGAAAAGGTGGGGAGGGAGAGAAATTTATTTCACTCCCCCCTCCCTTCCTCATTTCCCTCCCACTCTCACCCTCTTGTGTTTTTTTTGTTGTTGTTGCTCTCCTGATGTTGTAAGGATGTTTTGGGAAGGTTTGGAGCTAGTCTCTGCGGTGGTCACAACGACTGCTTGCCTGGTCTCTCTGCTCCTGTTGCTGACTGTCTCCAGACAACTTTGGCAATTCCGCTGGACCGTGAGCCGGGACAAAAACTGCAATTTGCCGATTCCTAAGGGCTCGATGGGGTTGCCCCTCATCGGAGAGACTTTTCATTGGTTAGTAGAGGTGAGACTGATTCATCCACTTGTACATTCTGTCTGTCTGTCTGTCTGTCTCTCTGTCTCTCTCTGTGTGTGTCTCTGGGTCAGGGAGTGGGGAGCAGGGGATGGGATTTGTTGCACGGAGTTGTCATTTTAAACCGGTCAATTTAAAATTATTGTATACCTCCAGCCACGTGTGGGACTGCACTGCTGCTATCTCCGTCTTAAAGCATTTAAATGTCCCCACTCTTAAATGCGCAGGATTTCAAAGTTACCAAGGACAGTTCTCTACAAAGTTCATCCCTGATTGCTATTTTGTTTTGTGTGTGTGGGGAGAGGTCAGGTAGGTTTTGGGTGACCTGAAAGGTTTCACTGGGACTGCAAGTGGAATTTTATAGCCTGCGACCGTGCGATCATTCCTCAAATAAAGACCGTTGTAAGTATAAAGCAGCAATGTGTCTGCAGAAGCAGAGAAGGTTGTGTAACCGGCCTTAACCCATTGACTGGATTTTGACCTCGGCAGCACACTGACCCCCGGGAAAGGTCCCATTCAGGGATTGCATATTCGCCCCCCCCCCCCCGCTTTTGTAAACAAGTCTCTCTTTCTCACCTACCCCCTACTCCCCTTACAGGTGCCATCAGCACTTAGTAAATCTCCCTCTCGTCGTCTCTCTCTCTAACACGAGAGCAGAGATTCCTAGAAACACTTAACTGAGC